CTCGCAGGCCTTTGCAGGCACACCCAGTTGCTTTTTGGACAGCTTCACTTGCATGCCCTCAGGCAACTCAAACTCACTCCATTCAGCCCTATCCTACTATCCTGATCTCAGCTTTTGAGGCTGAACTGGTTTTTCTGGCCCATCCTCACCCTCAACCCCAGGAGCCTATACCTCCCCACATCAAGGGACCGACCTGCTCACTCCTCTCCCTCCCTGTTGCCACTTCTGTGGTTCAGTCACCATCACCTTTTGTCTGGATTTCCGGCAACACCCCCAGCCGCTTATAGAACTCCCATTCCATCCCTCCTCTGCACCTAGGCCAGAGTCTTCCTACAGTGGACAAAACCTCGCTTCGCGAAGGCCCTGGGCTAACGCCCAAACTCCTTAACACAGCGTCCAGAGTGCTCCTGGTTCAGGCACTGGGTTTCTTCTCTGCTCACTTCTTGCACTTTCTTACAGCCTAGTTTGGGCCCAGCAGAGATTTCTGGTCCTCTAAGTGGGCCCCTGTCTCTCTCCCCTCTGGGTCTGCCGGGATGCTGAGTCCAAGGCCTGTGACTCCTCACTCTCTCCTCTCTCTCCCTCTGCTGCTTCTTCTGCTCTTTGATTCTTCCTAGAAGCCTTCCTGGGTGCCCAACTCCCCCTCCTCCTCATGCCCTGACCCCCAACATAGGACCTATGTCCCTGCATGTGCTTTTTTGACACTTTTTTTCCTTGCCATCCCTGTTTTATTGTCTCTTCATGGGACTGCAAGCTCCAGGAGGACAGGGCTGTCCTGGTCTACCGTGGTCACCTTGTGAGGGTGCCTACCCAGCACCCAGGTGGGTTGGATAAGTATCAAATGAATGAAAATGCACTTGCTTGGATAGGACCTCCTCATAAAACAATTACAGCTGACATTTACTGAGTGCAGAAGATGTGGCAGGCACCATTCTGTTTTGCACGTGTATCACGGGCATCTCACATAACCATGACAGATGGGGAAACTGAGGTACAGAGTCCCTGACCATGGTTTATCTTGAGGAAGTAGAGGAACCAGGGTTAGAACCCAGGCTATTCCAGAGTCCAATTCGGTCTCAACTTCTAGGAAATTCGGTGCTAGAGCGAAGCGCAATATGGGTTGCACTATATGAGGAGGCCCACGTCCTCTGCGAAGACATTGTTTGTGTGCCGCCCTCCTGGGGGCCCTGGGGCCTTCTCTGGGCTTTGGGAAGGGCCTGTGCGTCTAGCCTGCTACCCGGGAGGCTGCCCGTGAACCCCCGGTTAACTTTCGGGGCGGCTGGCCCACACGCCAGATGTGTCCAGGTCCTTG